TCAGCAGACCTGTGGCTTCATATATGCCTTGGGTGGTGACTCTGTAGGTAGGGAAATTTCCATGAGATAAGATCAAGCTAATTACTTCCACTTTACAAAAGATATGACACCCTTTGTCTGTGTAATGGGAGAGGTATAAATTTTAACTTTAGAACATTATACTACAACATGGGTGTCAAACCCCGCTGTGTCACATTGCCATCACATGATGTTTCATGACATTTTTACCATTTGCGGATCTGGGTGGGTGTGGCCTAGGACACGATGCATCCAGCCTGCGGGCCGCAAGTTTGACACCCCTATACTACAACATCAGGGAAGTTAAAACATGCCATATAAACCTATTCTATTTGAAGACTGGATGCTGTGGAGCCTGCAAAAGGCTTTCTCTCTGATTTACTTAGAACTTGTAACAAATGTTTGTTGTATCTCATATACAACAAATATTTCTTAGTAAATGATGTAAAAAACAAATAGCAAAGGAGGGAATATGCCAGAAGATGTTTAGTCATTCCATTCTAAACCAATACCTTGTTACAAAGCCTTAGTAAGGCCACACTTGGAATTCTGCATCCAGTTTTGGTCACCACATCACAAAATTGTTGAGACTTTGAAAAAAAAAAGTGCAAAGAAGAGCAGATAAGATGATTAAAGGGCTGGAAACAAAAACATATGAAGAACGGTTGCAGGAATTGGGTTTGGTTAGTCTAGAGAAAAAGACTATGGGTGACATGATAGCAGTATTCCAGTATTTGAGGGACTGCTACAAAGAAGAGGGGGTCAACTTATTTTCCAAAGCACCAGAAGGCAAGACAAGAAACAAAGGATGGAAACTGATCAAGGACAGACGCAGGAATTAAGGAGAAGCTTCCTAACTGTGAGGACAATTAACCAGTGGAACAGTTTGCCTTCAAAAGTTGTAGGTGTTTTATCATTGGAGGTTTGATTGGACAGTCACCTATCTGAAATGGTATAGGGGTTCCTGCTTGAGCAGGGGGCTGGACTAGAAGACCTCTAAGGTCCCTTCCAGCTCTATTCCAATTGAAATAATACCATGGAATCCAATACAGCTATTGTTTCTGAATTCACTCTGGATAAACATTGGTAGGTTCATAACAGTTAATTATGATGAAACTTTATTGACGGCTAAATATTATAACCTGATATGCTAAATAGAAAAAAAAGTTGGAGGTTTGGACTAGAGTAACCTTTTTCCAGCAGTAAATACTAGTGTTCTTCACCTTCTGCTTTCTTTTCACAAACATCTGTGAACAAATCCTTGGGGATATGGCTAATTGCACTAATAAGAATTCAGCTGAGTCCGTCCCAACCTCCTCCTCATTTAATCCATATGATAATGAGCTTGGTGGAGTAATAGATAGAAGAAGCTCCGGGTGGTTAGATGTGAGTTTGCTTATTAAATCTGGTCCCTTTAGAGACCAACCAGCTGGGAGGGAAATAGATGTGTGAGATTCTTAAGTCCCTTAGTAGAATATTTACCAGAAATTGACATGGGATTTATGCCAATACCTTTGTTGACAAAATTCCTTATTTATATATTGCTGTATTTTCCCCCAAAATGGAAAAGAATGTGCTGCCAGCTAAATATTCCCTAAGTATTCACCTCTTCACTACTAATGGCAGCAGTTGGAATATTCAGTGTGAAAATAACTTGAGAGCATATAAAAAAATCACAACTAGCTACAGTGATCAGCCTCCAGCTGTACATGTTCCAGGCAATGCTAACAAGCTCTGCAGCACAATATTACATAGCAGATGTCCCTAGTAGAAAGTCATCTGGGGCACACTAAGGATGTTTTTTTCGAAGCCTATTAAGCAACTGCATAAGGTAGCATTGGCAACATTTGAGGCCAGATGGTACATTTGTAATCTTGAAACCATGTTGTTGGTACTCTCACAAAATGGCTGCCATGGTTCCCATGCCTATCCTGTTATAAAATTCTCATTTACCAGAAAAATCAATGATCATAATGCCCTTCCCAAACTTCTTGGATGCCCTCTGCTACCCTAATTATCTTTTGCTCTTTTTCTGGGCAGGCAAACATACTTGGGAATGAAATTTATATGGGAATGACACTGGCCCTCAAAATGTATGAGTGTGTCTCATAGGTGACCAGGGAGTTGGCCAAGAATTGCCCATGGCAATTGGCCTATACCAGGGGTCCCCAACCACCGGTCCGTGGACCGGTACCCGTCCGTGGAACAAGTCCTACCGGGCCGCTGGTTTGCTGGGCGCCGCCATCTTTTTTTGATGAAAAAGTGCTTCCGGTGAGGTCACCAGAAGCACTTTTTCATCAAAAAAAGATGGCGGTGCCCAGCTGATGCCGGTACCGGGCCGCGGTGCCCAGCTGATGCCGGTACCGGGCCGCGGCACCCAGCTGATGCCGGTACCGGGCCGCGGCATAAAAAAGGTTGGGGATCACTGGCCTATACCATAATTTCCTAAGACCTTGTGTAGAGGAATTAGCCATCCTCCATATTTCCTGAGAAATACAATCACTTTAAGAAAGGAGGTAGGGGTTTCTCCTTCTCTTTTTTTGTCCCACAATAATGTATGCTTTTTTAAAAAAAAAAAAAAATAGCTTCAGCTTCAGCTACCTTGAATAGCAAAAAATGGAAAGACAAAACCCAAATTGAAATAAAGCATATCTACTGTATGTATCTTAGAGTATCTCCCTTATATAAAATATGAACTGTTTCATCATGTTAATGTTCTGATGCATATAGCTGGGGAGATCCTTGTTGCCTCTCTTTGCTAGGATTAAATGGATAAGAGGTTTTTTTTTAATGTGGCAATAAATATTATGTACCTGTGAAAAACACTTTCTCAAAAAGACTGAAAAAAGACTGGGGCTGAAGAATCAAATGTTAAGTGGAGCCATACTTATTACTTCAGTTCCTTCTCCATGGGTTATTGCTGTTATGAATGTATCAGTGTAAGTCCTCATCTTTCCTTTGGCAGGGAAGTAAATGTGGATTTCCAATCCTTGCCTCCAAAATAAAAGGTTGGTTGGAGACTTGTGATTTTTCTTTTTTGAAAAACAGTACAGCATGTTGTGATGGAAGCTAACTCAGAGCACCAGTCTTTATTCACCAATATTTTGATGGCTGCTGCTGTATAAGTGGGAGAGTATTGTTATATATGTAATGAAGCGAGAAGCTATTCCATTGAGGGGGATAATCTGGCTTTCTATAACAAAGACGATATTGCATGGTTTCTGCAGTTGCTTCTCTATGATGCATTATTCAAAATTATGTGTTTTCACCCTTCTGTCCTTGGCTCAATGAATATAGGAGTTAATTGTTTTACTAATGTAGACATTGTGTTTCTCTGCATGATATGATTTGCACATAAAAGCCTATGACTCACTGAATTACATCAGACAATCAGGGGAAAGAAATTGCAAACAATTCCAATGCAGAAAACGTTAGCTATTTTTAAGTGACACTGAAGTCAGCATAAATTCATTCTGATGATTTTGTTCTATTAATGTAACCAAAGCTACAGTAGATCCACAGTAGATCCATGAACTGAATGGATCTACATAGGATACTTTGTTCCATCAAGCTAAAATGGAATGTGCCACTTACTATGGGGAATCTGGAAAATCAAAAATAGCTCAAGTTACTAGCAAGGAAGAACATATACTATACATAAGGGAAAAACAAATAACTGACCCAAATGAGTAACTTTGTTACAAAGCATATGATCTATTCTACAATATAATAGATAAATGTAACTGTGGACCAGAAGGTAGAGAGCTATTGCTCAGCTGCAAATATCCTCTTCTTGGTTAAGGTATTTGAAAGGACAGTGGCAGATAATTTGTTCTTGAAAGAAACTGACTCATTTTAGTCAATTTTCAAGTTGGGTTTTGGCATTGAAAACTGCCTTAAGTGTTTGGACAGATGACCTACTCTGGGGAAAGATGGGGAATGTAATTGTCCATCCTACTAAATTTCCTGTGGCTTTTGATAGCATCAATTATGGAATCCTGTGGGGTTTACAGCTGGAGTCAAATAACTGTTCTTCAATTATTGTCCACCTGTATCCAGTCAGCTCTAGAGGGCGTCTTTAGACTTAGCCTTAGAGTACTTTTACCAGGCCCTTTGACTACAAGGGGGTTCCCAGAAAGTTCTGATTTAACACCCATGCTGTTCAGCATTTACGTAAGCCACAAGATAAGGATATCAGGTTTGGGATTGCATGCTACCAATGTACTGGTGACACTTGAATCTGATTTTGTCATCGGAATCAGGGGAGATAGTACAGATATGGGACTATGATTTCTAGCCTGGGGCCTTAACTACTAGACAAACAGGGTCTCAGGTAGTAAACTACATCTCAAAAATTCTTATGCATTGAATCATTTTTAGCTCTAGCTCTAAAAATAAAGAGGGTTCCTGGGGATAGCCACATAACACTGCTGTAAGTCATCATTATGCTCTTTCTTTTCTCTGCATAGAAGGTGGACAGTATTGTTTGGGAAAATAGACGACCAAATTATATATTTGCTTCTTTTTTAGTTTCTTGGATAAAGGAAATCTAAATATCTTAAAGACACTTAAATAAAAGGAGATTAACAATTTTGCTAACCTTTTTTTTTTTTTTTGCATTTTTCCATTAACTCCTATATACTACTTCTCGCATTGCTCCACGTGTGGCAGATTTTTTTTAATTACCCAAACTAAAATACCAAATTTCATTAACACCTTCGGGACGCTACCTGAGGCTTAATATAAAGGAGATTCTCTTATCTTGATGTTCTACTCTCTACCTTGCAAGTATTCTCACTATGCAAGCGACCCTCAAACTTGAATAAACTCTCTATGACTTCCTCTCTATAGTTACTCACTTCGGAGGATGTGACATACTTTAGTTGGCTTTTCCGCTTTCCGGTCGGCTTTTAAAGTTCTCGGAAGTTTTATTTCCGACCATAAAGACTCGGCGTCTCCTCTCCTTCCCGTCTCTCTATGATACACCTGACGTATGACTTTCGTAGATATAGGAGGCCGGTCTTTTTTTTCCGCCCAAGCTAGGGAATGCGATGTGTTGACCCTCCTACTGGACCGCTCTGTTTGGGTTGTCCCTCTTGCTGTCTATGATTCTCTTAAAGGAGCCGCTTGGCTTCCAGAACTGCGGGGTCCCGAGATGTTACTTACGGTGAAGGCGCTCCAGGGCCGGGAATGCAGCCTCCAGGTAGCCCTTCTTTCTTTCCGGGGCCAGGATCGCAGCGGATCGGCGCTGGGCGCTTGCGGTTCTCCCGAGGGTGGAGGGAGGGGGCTTCCTGGAGGGCCCGGCCTCCCCTTGGGCCTTGTGCTGGGAAGGTAGGGCGTTCGAGGCTGGCGGCGCTTCCGCTGTTCCCGAGGCAGCAGGCCCTTCTGAGCCTCAATCCTGATCTCCGCTCCTCCTTTTACCGTGGGTTCCTTGGGTGCTTCCTGGAAGGAGAGCACGGAAGACCCTCCCGGGCCCTCCTTCCCAAGGCCCGGCTGCCCCTGCTTGGCTCAGAGCAGTTTGGCCCGAGCTGGACTTGGTGGGTTAAAAACCTCACAGGACCCAAAGGAGGGAGACTGGCCTGGATGTGCAGGATGGGTGACATTAATAGATTATTTACACCCTGCATCACAGGCCTTAAGAAGAGGCAGGCAAAGGTCCTATTCCCAGCGTTGTGAACTACTAGATAATGCTGGTAAATCCACCCTCTGCTTTGTGTGGCCCAGAAGCAGGTATTCAAAAGGCAAATGTCTCTAAAGGTAGTAGGCAGCCATTACAACTAGCAGCCACTGAGATTATCTATCTATCTATCTATCTATCTATCTATCTATCTATCTATCTAT